ACTAACATTTTGACATCAAATTTATTTAATGGAAATCCGCAATCACACATAACCTTGATTCTAGATGGAAATAACTGCTCCTCATCATAAGCAAATATGGTTGGTGCACCAATGCATTTTTTATGCATTGACTTCATTTTATTATATATAGTGCTTCTTGGTATACTAAACCTTTTTGAGGCTTGACGAATAAACATACCTTCATTAATTGTACCCATACACTCTTTTAAAAATAATGGCATTATAACAAGTGTTGTATGTTTTCCAACACTATGCTTGTTATATTTACGAGGCATTATGCTTTAAACAAAAATAAATATAAACAACACAAGCAAACTGCGATGTAGTAATTTATTAAACTATTATATAGTTTTATTAAATTGCAATTAAACTTAAAACCAAGAGTCTATAAATTTTAATCTTGTTATAAAGTTAATAAAATTATAATTTAGCAACAACAGCAACAACAACAACAAATAGTTTAACAAGAAAATATACTTTTTTTAAAATCCTTAAATACATTCGTGCTAAAAACTGTTTATCAAAATAAATTATTTGGATAACATGCTTCAAAAAATATTCTAGTTGTTATAAATAAAGATTAGACTACTTTAAACTAAATATTATTTACTTGGCCCAAGTTACCCCAAAAGAGTATAAATCTACGGGGGTAACTTTGATCACCCTGTAAAAAAACCAGAATGTTGTTACTTGAGCCAAAAACTTTTCGCCTAATTTTATCTGAACGTTTGTCTTTAAAACAAAAGGAAAACTGAGTTGTTTGCTTTCATTTTTATCTTCGCCCAGACAACATTTTGTTTTACAGTTTTTGATGGTGCTTTACCAAAATAATTTCTAAACTTGTGTCAAAACATAAAGATACCCTTAAAAAAACGGGTTTAAATATATTGTTAAGATAACACACAATTTTAATACAATAATGCAGAAAAACATAAAAGCATATTGATTATGAAAGTCAAACAAACTTTATCTTCAATCTAGTTAAAGAAAAGCCATTGAACAGTATTTCCAAAAGGACTTTTTAATCCACCTATTTCAAATGATGTTGAATATTGGCTAATGTTTAAAAAAGAAAACATACTGGTCAAAATTTCATATTCGTTAAGCAAATCATAAATTCAAAATACATGTTAACGTCAACGAGTGACATATTTGGTTTTAAAGAACACCTAAAAAATACGTCTAGAGATACTTTTCTTAAATTTATAAATTCTGATTCTAGCAATTCTGAAACAAATTTTCCTAACATAACAGATTTGTAAATAAAGTGTTTCACTTAATTAGGTTTTAATCAGCGACTATTTCCTTCACGTGTATTGTTTGTGAAACTATTTGTGACATGTGTTGATATATTATGCCTATTTTCCGATTTTTTTTATGCATTATGGTGTATTGCTGAAATCCAAAACAAACTTTTTCTGTTTAGCATTTACACTTCTGATCATTATTGAACCTGAATTATATGCTCACACTTTTTAGATTAAATGTTTTCCATAATGTGACTTTAATGAAATCACCAGTGTTGTTAACACTTGAGATGTTATAAGTTTCAAGGTGATTAAGAAGAGCATTGTGACTAAAAATAAATTTTTTTTTTTGCTTTCTGAGTCAATTATTTTGTATGTTTTTAAAAACGTGGACTAAAGTCAAGCAACAAGAATTCCATTTGTAGTTAACCAAGGTTTTTCATAAAATGTTAAATTAAGGTGTTTATCACATATAATTTTCTTTGCTTTGCTATTTGACTCTTTTACTGATTCTAGAGTTTGATCACATAAAAATTAGGAATTTATTTGTTTTTCACAACATTTTCAAAAGAAATTTAGGACAATCAAACATACAACTTGTATTACAAGTTATCATAACATTTAAAACACTTTTTGAAAGAGAATTCATTTCATTGTTTTTCAAAAAACTGTAACTTCCTAATACAATCAATTAATCAATATATTTTTCACAAAAATAGATACCGTTTGCAATATAATATAAGTATTACAATGATATTTTTGTGACGGGACAATGGAAATAGTACAAGACTATTTCAATGCAGAGACCTTATAAAACAAATAATTACAATAAATTACAAAATACAATAACATTTTTGTAACATACACCTTGCCATAGAGAATAACAGTTTCTAGTATAAATTTTAAAGTAGAAAAAAAAATGTTGTAGAAAGTTTCTTGCAATTTTAGAAAAAACAAGCAATCTATCTGTGAGAAAAATTGTGCAAAATGTTATTTAAGTATAACCTTTTTAAAATTTTGATGCCAACCAGATTATGTTGCTGGAAATTTTAAAACTTGCATTTGGTAAACATTTTATTTGACGTGTTTTTTTCTCTTTGTCTCTAGGAAATCTAAATATTTTTTAAATGTATGGATTTCCCAGATATTGATAAGTAACTTGTAAAACATTAATAAACACTCTTCACCATTTTTCATAAATATAAACAAGTTTCACTATTTTCATAGTAGACTAAATAAAGAATTATAAGCGATACTTTAATTTAAAAATGCATTTCTTATTGATTTCCTGCCCCAACCAAACCCTGACTCAAATCATGCACATTTAATTGCGCCAATCCCTATTTGTTAGTAGATGTATGTACATTTATTTACGCCGATTCCTATTTGTCAGTCGATGATTCTATATTTATTTACGCCAATCTCTATTTGTCAGTCGATGTATGTACATTTAAAAATATGAAAGCGAAAATAAAAACCGTGTCGCGTAGTTAAAATATTATTTTCTTATATTTTGAAAACAGTGGTAAAATGTTTTTGAAGAGATGGTTGAATATTAGCGATTTTAATGTGGATTTTTATACTTTAACATCAAATTAGAGTACTTTCCTAAAGTTTTCACATCAATGTTTTTATTTGATTTAGAATCAGTATCATCTATTCTATAAAAATCAATCATAAAAACAGGGGGGGGGGGGGGGGAGAAAGTTGAGTAGCGCTAGTAGCGTGGGCGCGCCCACTCAGCGTGCCTATGGCTAAATAAACCAGTAGATATATGTATATAAATAAACCAGTAGATAAATGTACGCTGCGATGCGCTCATCTATATGTATCCCAATTTGCCTAACCTCTACATATCCCAGTTTTTAAACGTCACGGATGTTTAATGTCGGAATAAGGGTTTAAAAAGAGTTTGATAAAAAGAATAAATAAATAAATTTAACTTGCTTTTTTTTTAAGTCAATAACAAAATCTTTATCCAAAGACCGAAAATTCAATATTAAATTGTTTGTAATTATGTAAATAAAAATCATTAGGTAATAATATACTTATAAAAATTCTTGGGTTTAGATTGATTAACTTATATTTTCATTATTGATACTCACCTATTTCTAATTTTAGTACCTTTTTGTTTTGTTTTTGCAGACTTTTGTAAAATTCCTTGTTAATGCGTTATAACTGCATTAAAGTGTAGGTTAAACCGATTAAAACCTATAGTAGCAAACATATAACAACTGTAAATATAAAAAAAATTGCTTTTAAATGATGGGTCATTCCACAGAATGTCTGCTAGATCAGAGAAATTGGGTTAAGTTTATAAAAAATTAGTAAGAAATCAAAGATAATAACTCTTAGTCAATCTTACTTTTAGTCAAACTAGGTAAAGTTGTTTATTGTACACGTAACGTTAAATTTTATATGACAGATAGTTTTATGAACTTCTTAATACTTTATACGTATGTTGTATTGTTCTTTATATTTTTTGCAATTAAAGAGCATTTTTCTAAAAGAATTAAAGTCTAATTTTACTAAAGTTGAGTTTGCGTAACTTAAATATTATTTTATAACTTATTTTCCCAGATTTAATTTAAGTTACCCAAACTCAACTTAAGTAAAATTAGACTTGAATTATTTTAAAAAAGTTCTCTTTAATTGCAAAAAATATAAAGAACAATACAACATATGTTTAAAGTATTAAGAAGTTCAAAAAATTTTATATAAAACTATCTGTTATATAAAATTTAACGTTAAGTTATCCAAACTCAACTTAAGTTGAGTTTGGGTAACTTAAATTTTATCTAGGAAAACAAGCGGATCAAGAAAAAATCAGGGAAATCCACCTTTGAATATTGGTAGACACCCTGTTCCATATGATATCATCCACACACAAAATCTTTGTCACTTTTACATTTCAGATTTGTTTATTTTTGCAGTCTTTATTAAATAAATAATAACTACAAATATTTTAGCATAAAATATACATGTGTTGTTGAGATATATAGATCAAAGTAAGCCCCCAAAAATAATGCTGTTTTTAAGTTTTTAAAAAAATACCATTTCTCATTGGCAGAATTTTTTTTTTTAATGGTCTATATGGATGCATGAATCTGACTTTAATACCAAGTTCACTTGCATCTTCTACAATCTCTATCCACTAAATTCATTATAAAACCATGCAGTATAGTCCAATTTTTTTAATGTTAAGTGAAATCACTTCCTTATTTTTGTTTTTTGGAATGATTTCATGTATTCACTTTTTATTTTCTATAAGTTATTGTATTTGAACTAATAGGAATAAAATGATATCATTGTTGTTTTGAAACTGTTCTTGTCAATTCCCTTAAAAGTAACTTAAAACAAATGCCTGTTATTTTGAATTTACTTTTTTGACAAACTACTATTGTAACAGTCGCAAAAATACCATCACAGAAAGATTTGCCATAGCTGGTAGCAAAAAATACTCATTCAGCATTTAAATCAAAGTCTATGCTGTGATAAGATAAATTGAAAGATAAGTTTTGAAAGTTTTAAAGTTTCATTGCACAGCCATCAGAAAAATACTTCCCACAATTGTTTTATTAAATTTTTAATGTTTTTAATTAAATATTTTATGCTTTGTTTCATCAAATATTTTACTGTAATAAAAAATATACACGTATGTATCTTTATTACATAAAGTACATTTGGAAATATTGTTGTTGCTATGTTGTTGTATACTCAATTAAATTTTTT